ACCTACAAAACAATGAACAGGAGACACTATATGACAATGAGCAGCGCCGACACAAGAAGCTAACAATGAACCAACTAGAGTCCATAACAATTTTGTGCTCAGCACCATTAGCAAAGATTCCATTTGTAACAAACTGATGACATGCCAAACAAAATTAAAATGCTCACTATAGAAACTCACAAATTAATAAACCTTGTCAAAGAGGCATTATTGACGAAGAAATGAAAAATAGATATGCTGCAATTCATGAGAAGATGAAGGAAGAAGGCTTAAAGAAGGAGAGGGGCTGCCACTCCAGCCCTAAACCGGAGCAAAAGGCCAGTGGCTATGAATTTTGCATATTCAAGGTTTCCTAAGAGGAGGAGAGATAAGAGAGGGGCTGGAGTTTTTACTAAAATTGTTCGTGTAGCTTGGTTAGGAACTCAAAATACAATTGTACTGAAACAAAATCCACATTAGTAATTCAATACTTTTCAACGCATCTACTGCGATTCCTTGATTTCTTATAGTGGATTGGAATAATTGTTTATGGCGTCTTTTTTTATGCATTTTATTTGGAACCTGGATTGTCTGCCTTCCCCATCCCATGCCCTTTCAATGCCCTCATATATTTTATGGTCACGGTTAAATTACGTTAACATTTTATATTGATTTTTTATAGAAATAATAAGGCAAAAAGCAATAAGAATATAAAATGTTGACGTGACTTAACCGTGACCACAGAAATAAGAGAGCATGAAAATGATATGAGATGAGGAGAGCAGACAATCCAAGTGCTTTTATTTGTATCCATAATTATCGACAAGGTAATTAGATTGCATACTTGAACCTCTATTTGGTAGGTAGTTATGCTTATCATTAATGGTCCACGATTTCAATTTTTATTGTCTTTGCCCATCCTCGTCACATTTCATTTCATCTTATTATTTTTTATGATTGTCTCTTTTTGCGGGTTTGGCCCGCTTTTAATTGGTTAATCTGTGTAATTTTTTTGTTAACATAAAAATAAAAGGGAGGATGGATGGGCGTGAGGTTCTTGAGTGTACTAGAAACGCTTTTGCAAATGCAACTCATTTGTGAAAAGTGAATGTTGTGTTATGTCTTCAATAATGAAGTTTTATTTTTGGTAATGATGAAGCGTAGAATCCAAAGGTTTAAGGGTTCAGTGGAACTGCTTTTAAAATGATTAAAATCGATTTTTATGAAAAATATTTTTGAATTCAATATTTAATCATTTTAAAAGCATTTTTCAACGAGCCCTAAGTGGACTATAATAGTGTTTTTTCCACTTGCATTTAAGTTCAAATTCCCCCATAATACATATTTGTATGAAAATTGATTTTGATGTACTCTTTCTTCTTATGTGCGTCTTTGAATTAAGGAAAACTAATGAAAAGGGTTTGAAAACTTCGAGTTTTAATGATAAGGACAAAATAAAAGGTAAATTGAATAGTACCAAGATTGACTTTTTAGTGTAAAAATGTGATTTTTCGTTAAAATGAACAGTACCGGATGCTTTCGTTAAAGTTCCTTTTGAATTAGTGTGTACAGAGAAAGACAAAAGTGAGTGAAAATCAAATTCTTCTGTAATTTTGGTTTTCTTACCGACAAAAAAGAGAGAGAAAGAGATCATGAATATTAAAAAAGGAAGTTACTCGGTTTGTGTGGTCTACCCACAAATTGCCAAGTGAAAAAAAACGAGTGAATGATATTGTGAAAGAACAAACGAATGAAAGAGTGAATGATTCATTTGTATAGAAAGGTGACAATCCATGTGGCCTAAAATTGAACACACGTACATCATGCGGCGACCCTCGGTTGTACACAACGCGATCGACGACGATGACGACGCCGACTGGATCTCCTGCCATGTCCCATCTCTCATTCCTCGACTTGTGATGTCCTCACTTGCTCCTTGTGGGGTGCTCGTGGCCCCTCGTCCCATCATCAGATTTCTAATCAACTCAACTCCACTACTTACATATCAAACCATTATTAAACACTAATAGTGGATGTTAATTATTAAACACTAATACTTTCTTCAAACATATCTTGTATTAGTATTACTATGTCGATGACTGTATATGCAAACTTTCTTATCCGACAGAACGAATCACAAAGATTGAATATATTTTTTCTTACAACAAGACGTAATGTACATTTTATTGTTTATATTTCACCTCCAGATCACTCATATTAGCAATATTTAGGGCTCGTTCGGTTTTGCTTTTATCAACTAGTATTTGTTGTGTATGACCTCATGGTGCCACTAAATGCTAGACAAAATCATGTATCGGCAAATTGTGCCATCTCTTGGCAGGGATCGGTAGACCTTGTGCACACCGCTCGGCTAACCTCATCAAGCCATACGTTTCTTGGCATGTGCCATGTGCTTGATCAAATGTCTAAATAACCTCGTCATAATGACTTTTTTTTGCCATAATTAAGAATGAAATTACTATTATTTAACTTAACACAATGACCGTATAGGGTACAAAATCCTAAATTCAGTAGTGAGTGGCTTAGGCAACATAGTACAATAGATTGCCTAACAAGAAAAACCAACTCTTTTATCATGTTCTTCAAAGAGAGATGCTAGCATCTTTCTCATTTGAACTTTCTCGTTCTATCTTCTCAAATCTCTTTCTCATCTTGCAATGTTGTTGATGATCAGAACCGACTACTATCTAGATGGCCCTTTAAAGATCAACCTTTGTAAAAAACAACCAAATAAGAAATCGTTTCATTGTTTGATTAACGTTATCAAATTTATGAGTTTACTTGAAAAAGATGGGACATGGATCCTCTCCAGATTCATTGGTCCTAATCCACCAAATCCTATAATCCGGACTATTGAAATTTGATCAAACAACTAAAGTTATTATAACTTTTAAAGTGGACCCCTGTTTGTAACCGTTTGATCAAATTTCAAAAGCCCAGATTACGGAATTTGGTGGATTAGGACTAATGGATCCGGAGATGATCCATGTCCAGAAAGATGGTTCGTGTATTTATTAGATAATCATCATATGAGTAAAATATTTCAGATTTAGTTATTTTTTGTGCATAAATAGATAGTTTTGATCAACAAACAACATTTCATGGTAAGAAAAAGAGTAAGAAAGTAAAATGAAAATATACAAATGAGAAAATTCCTAGCAATTCTCTTGTTCAAATACTCATCATGGTATACAATGTTCTATAACTTCCAACTTCCAAACTCCAAATCCAAGCTTATAAAAAACAGGGGAGGGGAGAAGAAGACCCATCTATGTTTGGTCCGACAAGATAATAAGATAAGGTGGCTGTCTCATTTTCTTTATGCACCCTACCCTTAACCCTATTTATTGTCCAAAACAAGCCTAAAAGAGTACGTTGCAAAAAGTCAAATATGGGTCTGGATAGGCTAGCGTTGTTACTATCCACAGGGTATTCGAGGCAGTAAAAGGTTGGGATTTATTTGAATGGCTCACAACGATAAAAAAAAATTCAATCTATTGAAAACACGATTCAATACATTATGTGTTATAATACAATTATTAATTTTTTATTTTAAATTTTTAACTAATTATATAATTACACTTGATGTATTTAACGGTGTGCCCTACACTCATATGCTAACATTTCTCTTCACAACGACGTCACCCTGACCACTTGGCGCAAATCTGTAACTTCTCTTGACAGGTTGGAGGATGAAGAGAGAAACAATAGAAAAGCACAAAATAAAATTAGATAAAACAAACCGACTAATATTATTGTCTAGTGTTGTTTTTCTCTATTATAAGTGAAAATTCCATGTTTAGTTTACAGGAGTAATCATGACGTATTATACTTGTATTTAGTGAGGATTCTCGCTAGATCTTTTTTGGATCTCATGTAACATCCCACATCACCCAGGGGAGTGATTCTTAAATGTATATTCTCATCCTTACCTAGCACGAGGCCTTTTGGGAGCTCACTGGCTTCGAGTTCCATCGGAACTCCGAAGTTAAGCGAGTAACGCGCGAGAGCACTCCCATTATGAGTGACCCACTGGGAAGTTGCTCGTGAGTTACCAGAAACAAAACCGTGAGGGCGTGGTCGGGGCCCAAAGCGGACAATATCGTACTACGGTGGTGGATCGGGCTCGAGAAGTGGTCCGTCCTGGGCCGGGATGTGACATCTCAGAAATCTTCAAATCACATCCGCTCATCGTACATCGTGTAATCAGAAATTATTGTAAATTAATTTATTTAAAATTGAATATAAACAGTACCTAACAAAAACTGACCGTACAATATACGATGAACAGATGTAATTGAAAGATTTCTAAGATCCTCATAAAGAGGATTCAACCAGGATCCTCACTCACTCGTATTGATTTCAATCCTAGTTGTCTCGGCTCAGCCCAGGTCAATTCCTATACCGTTGCAATAGATTGTCCATGTTCACTGAAATGTAGAATATCTTTTATAAATAAAAAAAGAGGAGAAATATTTACGATTATGAGCATGAAGAACGTAGCCATGTGATGTATCATTTAATATGTTGAAATATAAGTATAATAATATTACGTGAAAGTGCTTTAGAAAATGCCGAAGTATTGCTCCAAATGAAGCGAGGTGCAAGGATAGAGGAAAAAATACAAATATTTTTTTGGTATTTTAGCTAAAATAATCTAAAAAATTAGCACTATTAATTATCATTAAGTGAAGGGGTTAGTTTGACAAAAATACCCTTCAAAATGTTCACATTTGACAAATTTTTCATAGAACGACAAAAATAAAGTGGACAAACTCAATATCACTTTTATCGATTTATATTGTCTGGAACTAAAATAAAAAGTATCCCAATTTTAACCACCATTTTAACTAAAAAAATATTTTTCTTAATTGGCAAATCATTCCAAAATTTAAAAATAAAACCAAAAATTAAATTAAATAAAAAAATACTTAGGAAAATTCGAAAAGGGTAGGCGTCGTCTTTGGCTTATAAAATGGGTGGGAGCGACGGTTTCGTATTTTAACTGAATAGAGGTTTTGAATTTTGATCTTTCACGTGCCTCTCCCTTTCCTCACTGTCCTTTATTTTCCGATTCTATTTGCTCTCTCTGTATCTATCTATCTATCTATCTATCTTGCTTTCCTTCTGTTTTGTTTCGCAGCAAAACGAAAATAATAATCATCTTCCTGCGGTTTTTAACTTTCTTTTTTTGTTAAGCTTCGTTTGACGGTGCTACTTTTCAATATTTATATACACCCCCCACTTATACATATATCACCCTATATATACACCTTGACTCTGCTAATAAATAAAACAGAGAGCGAGAGAGGTTTAGGTTTCTTATAGGGAGAGAGAAATGGAGGGAAGAAAGCAAACTGGGTCGTCGTCTTCTTCCTTCACTTCTGAGCTTTTCGGATCGAAGGAGTCATCTGCTTCTCCTGGGATTTTTGGGGCCATATTTGCGCCTCCCTCCAAGGATTTGGTATTATTGCTATTATTCCCCTGTTTATTTTTCTGATTTTCCGAAATTCTTGATGGTTTTTTTCTTATTGTTTTCTTATTATTCAATTGGGTTTTGGTTTTTATCTCTGCATTTTTGAATTTTTGACAATTCTTGCTGGGTTTTGTTTAATGGAAAATGGGGTTCTGTTTTTTCATTGAATGCTTAAAGCCTTCGCCTTTGTGTCATTTTACAATTTACATTGTTTTGGGGATGTTTTTACAACTTTCTCTCGTAAAATCTTGGTGGGGTTTATCTATATTTTCTCCCAAATTAGGTGGAAACCCTCAATTGTCATCTGTTTTCTGAATGGATGATAACATTATTTTATTAATGAAAGGGTTTAGAATTATAAAAGTTGTATCTGTTTGTTCTTTTGAATGGATTTTGCTTTATCTCTCCTCTAAACTTTTGCTCTTTGAATCTCTCTCTCTCTCCCTCTCCCTCCTGACTGACCCTTTTATTAGATTAATAGATTCTGTAAAGTGTGTGTATATATTTGTTTATTTTTCTGCTGTACCATTTTCTGAGCTGAATTGTGATGTTGTTGATTCAGGTGTTAGGGAGGGAATCTGTGCATTCAGAATTCACTGGGAAAAAGCTCTCGGATGAACCATTGCACTTCACGCCCGGAGATCAGCCAGGTTTGCATGCTTTTTCTACCTTTCATCTGTTGTTTTTCTTTTGTTATGGCCAAAGTTTTGTATTTTTGTATTTTTTTTTTTTTTTTTTGCTGTTTAGTTTAGATTGCTGCTTTCTGCATGCCAGGCATAAACTGGGTTAACCTATTATTTATAAACATCACTAGGGGCCTTTGGCCAAAAGTACTTCTGGGTTGTACAGTATATGGAAGTTCTTTCTGTTTATTATGAAAGCACTTGAATTTTTATTTTTTCAACGTGCTTCTAAGAAAAAAATTTCTAATGAAAAAGCTCGTGAGCATAAGTGATTTCTAGAGAAATATATATTTAGTCAATCTGCCTTTATACTTTTTAAAGGCCTCCATACTTTACCTTGGAAATAGAATTTTCCTTATGCACTACTCATTCTAAAGTGAAACTTTTGCTTATTTTCTGTTAAAAAAAAAAAGTTTATCTTTGGGTTGCCTTTTTTTTTTTAAATTTATTTGTACTCGCAGACCAAATTCTTGGTTTTTAAAGTATGAATTGTGTGTTTGGGAAGTGTTTGATTGGGATGGATACCGTTTTGTTGCCGCTGCAGATGGTGCCTCTAAAGAGAGCGAAGGTGAGAGTAAGAGCATATCAAATAAGGACATAATAAACTCCATCTATAGGGATCAGAGAGTGCAACAACCTTGCCATCTCAGTTCGTCAATCTATTATGGTGGCCAAGATATTTATTCTTACTCCCAGAGTAACCAGAGCCCTGAATATAACTCTACGGTGAGCGTTTTTCTTTGTTATGTTACGTTTTATGCATAATCCAAGAACAAATAGAGTAATTGTAGAAATTCTGCCTTATCATCGGGTGTACTGTATGTCTGTATCCTTTTGTGGTGGGACATAACAAGTGACATGATGAGAGAAATTGACACACGGGTGTGACACGCTAGATTTTATCTTGTGTGGCATGTTATGTCAGGGGATGTAGCAAGTTGTACAAAATTACTATATAAATAAGGACTTTTCATTTAGATTAAGGCTGTTCTTAATTGGGGGATTATTTCCTGATTATTTCAGTACAAGAAAGATGGGACCGAGGATGATTCGGGAAGTGCTTGTAGAGGAAACTGGTGGCAAGGTATAAATTATACTGCATTTGTTTACTGGAGAAATCTGTATGTACTGTTCTCAACTTCTGACGTCGTTTCTTCTTCCAAATTATCCATCTCTGCAGGTTCCCTCTATTATTAAGTGCTCCTTTGCCGAGGCTTATGCTCGTCAAGGTATTTTACTTCTGAAACATTACTAGGAATCTACCATCCGAGTCTCCAACAATCATTCTAATAATTAATATCTAACTTGACCTATGGACAAATACGCAAGCATACGTTTTAGTATGTACAATATAGACACTTCTTGTTAGTCGCACGTCATCTAGAATTTAAATCCCCGACAATCATTCCATTAATTACATATCTAATTTGACCTATGGACGAATACGTAAGCATACGTTTAAGTATGTACTATCTAGACACGTTCTGTCGGTGGCGCATCGTCTACATTTACCTTATCTATTCCTTTCTTTGATCTCGGTGAATTTCATTTATTAACTTGCCTATTGGTCAATCATGACATTTTCCTTTAGAATCTTACCATATTTACCATAGTTTTTTTTTTCCCTCTTATTAATACGTATACAATGGTTTTTATCACAAACGGTTCATTTAGTTTCTAACTTAACTTTGGCTCTTCACGTTTCAAATTGATCAATGTTGTCCTCTATGCTTTGCAGATATATAGGAAGGAAATAGGGTAGCAGCAGGTGGTTGTGGACAGCTGGTTTGTTTTCCTCAAGACCCAAAACACAGTACTCACATATATATATATATATATATATATATATATATATATATATATATATATATGCACCTTCTTTAGGTTCTCTGTAAAATATGTACTCTCTGTTACTGTAAGGGATGTTTGGTTTAGTGAAATTAACCTCAACTCTAATGTAGTTGAAGATTTGGATGTTATTTTAGTTTTTGTTAAATGAATGGTTTGTACTACTAATTGCATTTGGTTCTCCTTATCTCTATTCTCTTATTTGTTGCTTTTAGGATGGATGGATAGTTTGTAGTCTCTGATCTACTCATCTGTGGTCCATGAAATTTGTTACCCGAGACAGAATCTTACTGACGGGGATGAACCCAAACTGAGCCTATGTTGTACGTGTGGCTGGTTTTTTAAATCACCTCAGTCTCAATGATAGGGTTATCCTCACTAAAAATATGTTCTTTTGTCAAATTTTGTGTATGAACTACCAGTCTGATTGATTTTTGTTGGTGTTTAGTTCACATTTAGTCTTAACAATATAAGTATGATAAAGTTATTCTTTCGTCAAACTGAATATGAATCGATAATCTGATTGATTCTTGTGTGAATGTGTAGTTCGAATTCATTATGGTAAGATAAGTACGACAAGAGAAGTAACCTCGTCTTTCACTCCACCCAATTCCTCGTATTCACTTCGTCGCTTTAAATGGTAAAAAAGAAATTGGGTATTTGGATATCCACTAAAACAATACGACAATTTATGTGGAAGAGGTTAATCATTACTGTAGCGTCATATTATCTTTATCTTTTATATATAAAGCCAAGGACCTAATGAATAGTGTTTTGGTGTCACAAACTATACAAAAAAACAATTTAAACGAAAATATTCCTCAAACAAAAAACTTCAAAAGCAACTTAAAATAATTCATCAAATATGACAGGGGTATTTTCATCATTTTAACAATGTTTTTAATAATTAATTTTTTTTGTACATTTTTTTAAATAAGTAGTACCTTACCATAGGCTAGTAATAATGTGATTCAACAAGTTGTTCATTAAATATTATTTTCCCTATTTTTAAACATGTTCAAACATCTTAAGCGGCAGGTAATGCCGGTTATAAAAAAGGTCTTTCGCACGCAGATAATAATGTGATTAAATTAGTTGTCAAATGATTGTTCTTTTATTTTTTTTAACAAGCGATATTATCTACACTAAGAGGAAGGGAGTTGGATTAGCTTCACAATAGGCAAGCAATAATGTGATTCAATCAGTTGTTTATTAAATATTATTTTCTCTATTCTTAATATAAATTCAATAGAGACCGATTTTATTATGTGGATTCAACTACTTTATTTGGTTAATGAGAGGTTTCTTTTAATATGATATAAGATTATTCATTTACTTCAAATATTTGACTTTTCTTTTGTCAATTTACGCGTATAAATACATTTAACAGTGTAAGTTGTCTATAGCACACCGTAATTCAAAAAATATCATCACACGTGTGCATGAAGGCTAATTTTAGTAATGCAAACCCCTTATAGAGAAAAAATTTTACCCAACATTATATTATTGAATCGAAAAAGAATGACGATGAACCTCTTCCTCGTAAGTCATTTTCAGTCGGATTAAAAGTTCGTTCACTCTCCTAGCTAACCTCAAAATTTAAGATTCCATTTGTTAGTGCCAACATACAAGAAACTGACAAATTAGTCTTCAAGGGCGGTGGTGGTCCATGAAACCCAGGATTATCCTGCTTTCCAAACCGTCTTTTCGATTTCCTATCCCAGCTTTCGATTGGGTCGACCTATCCAAGTAGCAAACCTAAGGAATAGTCCTTATCCCATGTCTGGTGAGACATAGCCTTCACCATGGTCGTTAATTAAGTTCTGGTCGTTAAAGAAGATTGTAGGCGTGGAGGAAGACTCTTCTGCCACGCTTTTACGAAGTTGCTTCTGATTTTGACGTTACAATGAATGTTTTGTCTCCAATTGTCCAAATCCAATCTTTCATTGCAGCTTATGACTAATTCCAATTTCATTAAGGGTATGTTTACTTATCGAAAATGAACGTTTATTGTTATCATGCGTTTGTTTATATGATTTATAAAAAAAATTAAGTGGTACTTGCATTAAAAATCAATTATTTCGTATCTGAACTAAGATATCAGAACACTAACAAGTAGGTAATTAGTTTATCTTATACTTGAACAATCAGAAACCATTATGATTCATGATTTCTCATCATTCTCATTCGAGATTTCTCTCATTCAAATTATGTTAACATATCAATAGAATCCAAGACAACTTAATGTTTAGGTGTAGCACAAAGCAAACAGGTTACAAGGATTCCGGGAAATTGCATATTTTTATTGTACGAGAAGGAAGGATACATATACATGATACGGGCTACTAGCTTTAATTTATTGCCAATTTACAAAGCAGTAATCCTACTTAATTAGTCACACTAGTAGCCAACTACTTCAAATATATTAACCAGACGTACGACTCCATGGCCTAAGCCTTCAACCTTTCCTTACCTTCATTCACGGCAGGGTATAGCCTGCAACATTAACGTCGCATTAGGTCATATTATATTAGTAAAAAATAGTATTAAACACAAAGAAAATTTGTTACTAGCACTCAAACAATCTTATTCTACACTCCAAACTTTTTATATTAGGAAAGAAAAATACACTTGTGAGAAGCGTAGAATGAGATTTTTTTTTGTGCCAATAACACTTCCCAACACACAAAAAGTTGGGTTGTTATTAATAAATCACAGTTTGACAATTACGTAAAAAAATTGTTTTTTATGTTTTGGTAGTTTTTCTGTATGTATCAGATTGAGAATGCCTGTATTTTTGAATTTACCTCCGCACTTGTAACCGACTGGGCGGTTGGCTAAGTTGCAGCGCTTAGGAATGGTTATCGCAACCTCAAGCTTGACGCCAGAGCTCTTGGCGGCGTCAGAAAGCAGGATGGCACAGAGGCAGCTAGTGTTTTGTCCCATCCTCTTGACTATCTGACAGCAACTAGCGGAAACAGCAGCCTTTTCATCTTGTGCGGCATCTGCACAAGGAGCAAGCTTGGCGGCCTCTTCGTCTGGACTAGCTTTTCCACAAGCACTTGCCCCATCAACCCTTTCAATCATAGCAATGCTAAAAACTGCAAGAAACCCTAACACGCAAATAAATTTCACTGCAGCTGCCATTTTTGTGTTGGTTCACAATGCAGAAGTTTGAAGTTAATGAAAAGTTATATCTCACAATTCCACAATGGTGCAATGAAATAATCTGTGTGTGATGGGGTTTTTATACTTGAATCTGAGCAGAAAATGTGGGTTTTCTATTCATCCACTCACTACTAGTGGAAGTGGCACTAGAACCAAATTATTGCTTATTTTTAAGCACTTCTGGGTACAGAAATTGGTCTGAGACATCTGTTTCACTTTGCTCCAATAAAAGACTGGCATTTGATCATTAGAGATTTTGAGATGAAGCGATTACTGACAGTGAGGATCATCAAAAACCCTTGTTGCTGAGACACCTCACCCCAATTCTCCAAAAGCTCCATTACCGACCATGTTCCATCCTCTTCGTATGTGAATACGTGTTGCCAACTACCACACTAGGTTAAACCCAACTACCAACTACCACACTAGGTTAAAACTGTTGAACCACTTCAACGAAAGCAGGTGTACGCATAAGTCCGTTAGTTAAAATATAGTATATCAGCCTATTGCACTCAAGTTCGAATAACCCTCCTTGAATTTTTTTTCTTCAATTAGCCAAATTGACTTGTTTATACAGACATGCAACTAAAATTTCAGTATTATAATTAACAGACCTCCTAACAATTTTAATTCTAGTTCCTTCTGCATGTAGATATTGGACATTTCTTAATGATCAAGGCCTAGTAAGTACTAACTCAAGTGGTTAAGAGCAATTTATCTCTGCATTCGAAATTATGTGTTCAATCTTCACATCACCAACATCGCTTGGATAATAACAATCACCCTCCATCCTCCGGCCAAAGAAAATGTTAGTTCAGAATACTATGATGCAAGAAACAACGATAAATACGTGAAAACCCCTTGAAGAAGAGCTAATTATGGCTCAAAATAAAAAGGCATTTTTCTTAAGGACTTATGTGCAAATTCATAACAGTGGAATAGCTAAAATAGCTATATACCTGTCTTTATCAGCAAAAGTGGGCATTTGGTCTAGTGGTATGATTCTCGCTTAGGGTGCGAGAGGTCCCGAGTTCAATTCTCGGAATGCCCCTTTCTTTTTATCCCTTTTGTAAGTTTTTTTGTCCATGGCAGATGAGATGACTGTATTTTGGCAATTTACCAGTATTTTATACGGATTTATGACCAAAAGAAAGTAACGAATTCATAAATAATAACATAATTATTGTGAAAATTGCCATCATTATTTTATTTTGTTCAGGAAATCCTAGAGCAAAGTCTGCTGATACTGCACAAAGTTGAACACTTTTGCACTGAATTTTATCATATGATTCATCATATCCACAGCATGAGAAAACAATAAGACTTCATATATTCTATCCAAACTAGTGTAAAATGTTTAGTTCTCTCTTTACAACCACTGTTTGATCGAGGTCAAACTGCGACTAGGGTCCGGAACAAACTCAAGACTGTAATACAGGGATGCACATCTAAAACATAAAACACTCAACTCATCACCGTTGCAGACATCTTGTTCTAACGAGAGTCGACAACCTAATGAACCTTCCCCGCTCTCAGATGTCCTCCTATGTCCTTAAAAAACACGCATAAAGGACCTAGTTGAAGTGGCTGAACACTTCTGCATGGTCAGCCGATGGATTCATTCTTCTGTGACTGAGTCTGGTGATCCCGGGCTCCTTGATGCTTTTGTACACTCAAAAGAATCCATTCGCATGTGAGACCCTAGCGTTTCTTGCATTGTGTTTGTTACTGAATCTGGTTTCTCAATTGGATCACTGTAGTCCTTTCCTTTTGCATCGATGCTAAGATAATCAGTCAGGACTTTTTTAACGCCCAAACCACGTTGAGGGATCTTGCCGCTGGTGATGAATGGTGATCTGTCTCCCCTCAGAGGGCTAACTAGCTGTGAGGGTGAAAAGCTTGGCGTGGTGAAAGGTGTTTTGTATGGAGTGCTTGAGATGGGCACCGAGTATTGAGTAGGAGTGCCCTTGTGTGGAATCATACTGACTTTCGAGATTGATGGGAACTGATCAGAATGTCGTGTCAAGTCATCTACATAAAGCAGGTCATCAATGCGTGCCACGATGTTAAATGCCAGGCTCTCCAAAACCCTTGAATAGCTCTCCAAAATGGATTTCCCGACATCCTAGCAGATCAAAATTGACCAATTAAGTACAAAGAAAAAACAATTAGAAGGCACCAATGAGAACAAAGCTTTTTAGTGGTAAAGTCGGAACCTTATTGTGCTGAATCTTGCTCATATCGAGGGCCGTCTGTGGAAGACCAGGGAAGCGTTGCTTCAAGCACATTAACAGACTTTCTGCTCTTTCTGGAAGCAACTCCTTTTTCTCTGCATCAATCATCAGCTCCTTGACCATTTCCCATGATGACTTCGAACCAAATCTGTTCGCAATACTTGTAGGTTTTGGGTTTGCTTTTTTACGCCACATATATATTGAGGCCTCCACTCTATTCGCAATCTCTATGGCTTGATGTTCAGAGGACAAATCAAGGCAATCAAGCAGGCATTCTGCGGAGAACTGATCTGATGTAATGTATCGATAAATAACATCCCCTAAGCTTACTCTTCCATTCTGAAACCAAGTTAAAACAAAAGTTTAACAACTATGTCTTTGTAATCACATATCACAGGTATCTTGAACGTTTCCAACCTTCGGAAGAGATTCCAGATATGATTCGGGGACTTCCATATCTGCTAGAGTAATACTATTGATTGCCATGGCAGCTTTTAATATTTGGCTCGTGCAATCACGCTTGTGCTGCAATTGCTTTCTTGAATTTTCATGGAGTCCACCAGGAGGAACTCGGGGCACAGGTAGCCACCACTTTTCCTCTTGGCGCTGAAATGCTCTTCGGAAAGAGGTTGACCCATCTGCATCTGGGGCCAGAATCCCTTGATCAACATACCAGAATTCCGTATTGTTAAAGCCATCTAAGATTTCCTGCAAGGATTGGCTAAATTCAGAATGGAACTCACAAACTGGATCTAAGTAGCAGGGGAAAAGTTTTTTAGAACCTTACAAGAAGCATGTTATCCAATTTACGAAGGGCAGGGAGATTAACGTAAAGATCTGAGCGCGGTCTGCAAGTCATGACCTGAATTGAAATATATATGAGTCAGAACAATTTCAAGGAACTGATCATTTATTAGCCCCCTAACCCAACGTTTTCATTGCCCTACCCTTTATAGTTGAGGTTGCTTATCAAAATATCATCACGTGATTTATATGAACATAAAAGGCTCTACGCCTGCATTTCTATTTCAATGAACCACGGTTAAAAATAGCGCACGCTTCATTACTGCAATATACTAGGAATTGCTCACTAAAACTCACAATCGAGACTTTTGACCATTCTTTCAGATGTTTGTTGCCACTCAGTACAATATATAAAGCTGAGCCAAGGGTTTCCATATCGAAAGCTAAATTACTATACTATTCTTTTAATCGATGTTGGAATCAGATCGTACCTCCAATTTGCTTCCATCAGGAAAAGTCTGCCAAGAAGGTATCAACTCAACAATATGATCACTCACACAAAGAAGCCATTCCATCTCTCTTCGCCACATCGATTTCTTCTCTTGCGGTAGAGGTTCTAGTCTCCATAGTTGCCCGAATAGGGTAGCTGCAAGAGGGAACCAGAGAATAATAAGAATTAGCATCAGAATCTATAACAAAATTTTCGTTAAACAACGCCGCAAATCAACCAATCCTTAGTGTTAAGACATTGAGAAAATAAAATAAAAGTGCGTACCGCAAAGATTAGTAATGGCATTTGATATAGCCAATGCTGTGCAAACCCCATTTCCACAACCTGACATATCTTCTCCAAGCAGCAATTTCGAAAACCTCTCCTTCATCAACTCAGTCTCTACAATCCCATAATAAACCAAAACCAAATTATGTTAAATGAAAATGCATCAAATTGACATGTAGCTTGGTTGTCAGGCCCATTTCGAATTGTTTATGTAAGTGTTAAAAGTGCTTTTTGACAACTTTAAAAGTGCTTCAAGGTCCTAAAAGCACTTTAAACCCTAAGTAGGTGCTTCTAACAAGAGCATTTCCATCAAAAGCGCTTATGAGCAAAAGTGCTTCCTACAAAAGCAATCCCAGACCAGTTATGAATTGGAGGGGAATAATAATACCTGATATTGTTGACCCTTGTTTCTCTAGTTTCCTATCATCCGAATGGGTTTTCTCCGCCGCTTCATCACCGTTCTCACTGGTGCAATCCGGCGCCTCACCTTTCTGAACGGGCCAACCCAACGACGGCGGCGAAGACGACTCCTCAGAGCTGCTGTGGCTCTGCTCCTCCTCCTGCCCCGTCGTCTCCGACCTCAAAAAATACGAACTTGAACTGCTCTCACGACCCTTCTCCTCAATCAAATCCTCAAAGCTCCCATCTTTATCCAAAGCTTCAGCAAAAAAATCGCCACTTTTCTCCCCAATAACTTCATCTTTCTCCACCAAACCCTCCATCGAAGCTCCTCCTTCGTCACCAAAACCCGGCAAATCGCAGAAAGCAGAGTTGTTCACCACCATACCATCGTACGGAAGCTTTCCTAAGCAGCAGGAGTTGTAGATTCGAGCTCTGCAATGCAAGTTCCGGAGATACTTCGACGCCCAGAAACAGAAAATAGAAAATGGGTTGCGGCTGTTGAAGCTTCTGAAGCTCAGCAATGGCGGACAGAGCTTGAGTTGATGAAATTGTAGGTGGGTTCTTGATTCTCTTTCTTCTTGGTGAGTGAAAGCTCCATCCATGGGGTCTCAACCATGTCTGACAGCGAAAGGTATGATTTTTCCGGAAGGAGGTTCGGTTTATTTATATGAACAAAAATGTGGAGCTGGTAATGATTAATGGAGCTTGCTCAAACACATGAACAGCGAGAGAGAGAGACGCATTTGAACTTTGAAGAGCGTATGTTTCTACCTTTTATCTTCGCATGGTTCGAACTTCGGATTATCTACTTTTTTAATTAACTTTTTGAAAATTATTTCTGTAATAAAAATTAACTAAAATTAATTAACTATATTTCTCACTCTAACACAGATTTTAAAAAAGTTAATCAAACAGGTAAATGATCAGAATTAAAAGTTGAGTTAACATATAGAATGTTTCCATCATCAAACTACATTACAAGATTAAATGAGAATATCTGAATAAGAAAATTGTCAATATATTCTTTTCACAGTACAAAAGATAAATTTTAAACTAAATTAAGAAATTTTTAAACTCGGATGCAAAGTGAGTGAATCCTCTTCAATCAATGTGTTT